GGGGGGGGGGGGGGGGGGGATGTGCTTGCGAGTAGCTTCCCAGTCTTTCCAAGTATAGACGGGAGCTTATCTGTTCGTAGTGGGTTCTAACGGCCTCCCATGTACTACCCTGTTACTTGATCGCAGTCTTTTTGCCGACTCGAATCGTAGAATACAAGCCACAAAAGAGAACACATGCATGCATGCATGCATTGATACGTCGTCGTAAACAGCAGGTATATCCTAAATAGGCGTAACAGAAAGAGGTAGTCCATCGCTTGCATCCGCCTGAAGAAAAGGTCGCTTTGAGTCCGCTGTTAACCCCTATCCAACACCTGGAGGACGCGCCACGCTCCCTGGCGACTAACGCATGAGATGCCTCTATTGGAGAAGATCCGTGTGTCTTATTCTTAATTGTCAAGTTTGGTCAGTTAGTATCCAGCGATGATCTTGCGTCTGGATATATAACTATCTAAGGTTGGATTCTTTTCGTTGTTCAGCAATTGCAAGGTTCTTATACAGCACACATTTACTTCCATAGAAAAACACAATGCAACAGTAGCTGACGTTTCGGCAGTATTGCCTTCTTCAGAGCTTGGAAGGGTGTACAGATCTACAATTTACTGGGCCGAACGCTTCAATAACACTTACAAGAAGAAAAACTATGGTAATTGCATGATCAACAGCTCGAAAAACTCACCGCTTTTTACTCGACTTCCAATAAGGAAGATTAGAACAGCTGATTATAGTCGCATATGGTTGATGACTGCATCATCCCACGTCAGAAATTGATGGGAGCATACGGGGTCAGGCCGTGTATAACCTCTGGGCATTCATCCCTGCTATCCACTGTAGGGTTTTTGGCATTTATCCAAAAATCCTCAAGAAGTTTTCGCGCTGGTGTTTTAGTCTCTCGTGGAAGGATATTGACTTTTATTTCAAGATCATCTCCGCAATGCTTTTGTATGCTATGCGTGCCTAGTGGGGTGCTTCGTCTTAGTTTTCGTTTGCCATCTAGGTGTTCCTTTATACGGATACACAAAGGTTTGCCCGTTTCGCCAATATATTCATCTCCGCAATTGTTACACGAGATCAGGTATATCGTACCTGAACTCATGCAATCACCGTCCCTGCCGTAATGGCAAATTACGCAATTTGTTGTTTCACATAGACGGTCATACAGGCGGTTACAAACTAACTGACGAAGTAGAGTAGCCGGTGGTATTTCAACTGTCACTACCGATTCTTCTAGATCTGCCCTTCTTAAGCATCGAAAAAAATAGAAAATAGAAAAAAGAAAAAATAGCTGCACTTATCTTAATCTTTTTATTTACTGCCTATTCTTTTTAACGGCAGTGTATTTACGAAATATAACTACTATAATGCTGTGATATTTGCAAAACTCCGGACCGCAGGTGTCTGCGGTGGGGAACGAACACGCTATTACCCTTTCCGGAGAGTAACGCGTTCACCACGACACCATGCGGCTCCTTCGTTCCGCCTGTCTCAGCTAGTTCTATCGACCTTTTGCCATCAGCAATCACCCGTCAACGGGGTTGATCTAGGGAGTCCAAATCGGCATTGAACCCAGTTAAGCTGAGGCTATAGTTATAATCACGATCTTAACGTTTTTATTTACTGCTTATTCTTTCTAACGGCAGATAATCGTTATATTTATTATACCGTTACATTTGTTATACCGATAATCGTTATATTTTTTATATATTTAATACCTTGCCGTTAAAAAGAATAGGCAGTAAATAAAAAAGTTAAGGTTAGGATATTTTTGTTACTTGGTTTTCGGTACCCCTTTGTAACCACTATTTGATAAGTTGATTTGAAAGTTAAGAAATGTAAGCCAGGTCTCCTTCGGTTTCTCCCGGGTGAATTTAATATGCTCAGACTGCTCATTGGATAATTCATTTATCCAACTCCTCTTGGGTAGAGAAGATGGTAAAACAATCAGCTGTATATCTGCAGTCGAGTTTTCTAACAGATTATAGATGAATGAAATCTTCAGCTTTACACGCTACTCCGATCACTACCACATGGAGACTCACACAGTGGAGGGAAGGTTTTCCATCACTATTTTCTATCTGCTTGAAGTTCAGCCATCAGCAAACAGTTTCACAAACTCCAATTTCAATAAGTTGAATGCTGCACAGCAAACCTGTGGATTGTGTAGAGAATTCCACTGTTAGTCAATAGTGAAAATATCGGGATCTATACTGAAATTCAGCTCTACTCGGCTTTTCTCTTAGTAGGATCCAGAAATATTTTCTCTGAAGTGCCGTTTCTGGTGAAATTCTTGGGCTAATACAAAGACGTAAAACACTAATGGATCTAGTAGATCACTTACTACAAGAAAACAACGTTTCTGTCTTTCCAACTGCTCCATTTCTAACATTCTGCGAAAATGGGTTGAAACAGTGATGATTCTTCAGCTGGCTGCGCTGCCACATCTATGGAATGATCTCTGCACTGTGCACCAAAATTTGTACGACGCGATTCTTCGTGTGTTCAAACTCTGTTTGTTAAATGGTTGGTATAACTCATGACTGATGCAATTGCGACTTTTTTCAACCTCGGCATTGTTCGACAATTCACTCTTTTCCACGATGAGCGAACACTAAGTTGGTGCTACAACATTTATGTGTAATACATGACGTTCCGGTGGTTTCGCCTTCTTTAAATTCACTATACTACAAGGTTAGACTCATTAT